CCCATAAGGCCAGGATCACGCTGGATCGTTGGCAGCTTCCGTCCTTCACCGTCGTAACAAGTACCGCATTAGTCTTCGAGGCATTCACGCCTTCACGCATTCACGCATTGTACCTAGTGTAAGGAAATAAACAGGTTTTACCCTACGTACTATGCTTGCTGTCCTATCAGAAATGGGGGTTGTTTACTATACTCTTTGGCAAGGTGACCGCCAGGTTAGCTTTTATGCAAAACGTACTATGTAAGTTATTGGGTCTAGGTATTTATTTCCTTCTGTTCCTTAGGATTCAAACCTTAGCGCAGACGCCATCAACATCTTCTCTTCGTAGTCGGCTTGTTGCCGTGCTTCAGTAACTGCTTTCGTCCTCAGTATAAGCTGTCTAGCTCCTCATCACAGGATTGCTTGCTACACGGGGGTCCCTGAACAGCAAGCATGGCTCCATCACCTGTCAAGCGGCTCGCTGGGCCACTCGCCCAGCTCCTAGTCTACGCCAACGGGATGAGCTCAGCCTCCGCAGCACTGCTGTACTCCACCTACAGCTTCAACCCGCTCGAGCACCTCGGCGGCGTGGCGCCGTACTTCGAGCCGCAGGACCCGCCGGCGTCCCCGAGCCCGCCCCAGGGCTGCACGCCGGCGAAGGCGGCCTACCTGTCGCGCCACGCGGCCATCTACGCTAACGACTACGACTACGAGGAGTACATCGAGCCGTTCGTCTCGAAGCTCGAGAACCACACGGCGGGCGCCGCCGACTCGTGGTCCACGATCCCGGCGCTGAGCTTCCTCGCCCAGTGGACCGCCCCCCTCAGCGACGCCGAGCAGGAGCTGCTGACGCGCGTCGGCAAGCTCGAGGCCGCCCAGCTGGGCGTCACCCTGTCGTTCCGGTACCCGGGCCTGAAGCCGCCGGCGCGCATCTGGACGTCGTCGGCGGAGCGCACGTTCGAGTCGGCGCGGGCGCTCGTGCGCGGCTTCGAGACGGGCGAGGACCAGGTCCGCGTCGTCAGCGTGTACGAGTCGGAGGAGGCCGGCGCCGACAGCCTGACGCCCTACAAGAGCTGCCCGGCGTACTCGGGCGCGGCGGGGAGCGACCAGTCGGCCGTGCACCTCGAGAAGTTCGCGGCGCCCGTCGTGGCGCGCCTGAACGCGCTCGCGCCCAGCTTCAACTTCACCGCCAACGACGTCTACGGCATGATGGAGCTGTGCGGCTACGAGACCGTCATCCGCGGCAGCTCGCCCTTCTGCGACCTCGACCTGTTCTCGCCCGACGACTGGCTCGGCTGGGAGTACACCGCCGACATCCAGTACCACTACAACGTCGGGTACGGGAGCGAGGTCTCCGGCCCCGTCGGCCTGCCCTGGCTGAACGCCACGGCGAACCTGCTCCTGGACGACGACGAGGGGGAGGGCAAGGAGGACCTGTACGTCAGCTTCACGCACCGCGAGCTGCCGCCCATGGTGCTCGTGGCGATGGGCCTGTTCAACAACTCAGAGTTCAGCGGCGGGAGCGCGGCGGCCATCAACGACACGATGCCCCTGGACCGGATCAACCACCGGCGCGCGTGGAAGAGCTCGCACCTGCTGCCGTTCCTGGGCAACGTCGCCGTCGAGCGCCTGCGCTGCGAGGGCAGCTACGGCTACGCCGACGGCGACTACTACCGCGCGCTGGTCAACAGCGCGCCGCAGCCCCTGCCGGGCTGCGCCGACGGCCCGGGCACCACCTGCTCCCGCGCCGGCTTCCAGGCGTACGTGCGCGGCCGCGCGGACATGTTCGCGGGCTTCTCGGAGAAGTGCGGCGTGGACTACGGGAACTCGACGGACGTGCTGAGCATATACTCGGATCCGGCGGTCGGGAACGGCACGCTGGTCGGGAAGCGATACGCGGCGGCTTTTTCCTGAGTAGGAGTTGATCGTGCATAGATTTCATTGTTGGTTCACGATACCTACCACCTAGTTCATAGTTCTTCTAATCCTGCATAATACCAATTTCACATGAAGTCTGATCTCTTAAACTATCCCTCACCCATCCTAGCGAACTGGTCCCCTAACGGACCCTTCTATCTACTCATACACCAGTCGAGCCCTTAGAGAATGATCCTTTCCAGTTATAATATAACGTATAACGTAACTCGGTAGTTGCAACTGGGGTCTTCAAAGTTGGCCCAGAAACCCCCCCCTCATTACTTGTTATGATGTCACAAACATATCATGAGCAAGTCGTCTGAAAGGTCTGTAGTAACCATACCCATTATCCAGATCCAATGGATTAAGTATACGACGATTGAAAGGCATTCGACAGTATCATTGTGCACGAACTGCCGGCTCATTATTACCTAGGCCAACGAGGCGATGTGCCAGATAGTGGGCTCCCGCTATTTGCAACCCAACGGCCGGGCCTAGTGTAAGGCGACGTGGTGATAGGGGAGTCACCACCTCCTCTGGTCCATTATAATGCCACCGTGAGAAGTGTTACTACTATGTGGTATGACATACACGCATGCTCGAGTGGCGCCACGAAGGCAAGCTTTTGGGCTGATCTAGTCCAATCAAGGGCGGCATCTTCGATGGCCCGCTTCCCTACCACCAAGCTAACGATGCATTCTAGAAGACGCCAAGCATCCGGATAAGTAATAAAAATGGCGTATATTCCATCGACACACGTCGAAGTGTCCCTTGCTCATACTTAGATGTATGTTCCCGACCCATTCCGTTGTGTAAGTGGCTCACGAGTTTGGAACGTGGTTACAGAGGACAGACAAGGCGATAATCTGGCGGTTCGCGTCTACTGAAGAATCGTTGAGCTGGGAAGAGAAAGGAAGAAAGAAAGAAAGAAAAATACCAATTCGAGTTCAAGACCCGACCCATGATTACTAAACTATAACACTTACATGGGGCACCCTTGATATGCGGCGGTATTGGGCAGCTACTACTACGTCGTTCAGGCCATCATTGCTCAAAAGGGGGTTGATGGAAATCGAGTAAATCGAGTTAAAAGTTTTGCCAGAGCGCGAGAATTACCTTTCTTACCTTTACTGATTTTCTATCGGTTCACACTTGACTACCTACTAGCGAGTACCCCTGGTTACCTATTTATAGTCCCCATCGAGAGCAAAGACCAACAGCCCCTCACTCGCCAAAAGAATCTCTCTATCTCCCCAACAATACCATGCCCCGCTACGACGACCACAGCCCCTCCATGCCGTCACTACGCCCGCAATCGCCCCCGTGGGACTCGTCGCCTCCATCGCGGCCGCCCCTCTCGCCGCGCACGAGGGCAAGGTCGAAGACGCCGCCTCCTCGCCTAGCAGAAACACCCCGATATACTACGCAACAGCAACAAGGACCGACGCCAACACCACCGGCGGCGGGGCGCCGCCATCCCCGCATCATCCCGCCCTACCCCTTGTCGGAATCTCCTTCACCACCGCCGACGCCACGGTCGCGGTCACGGACACGGTCACCACCGCAGTCACGGGCACGATCACCATCACGGACGCGGTCACCACCACAGTCACGGGCACGGTCACCATCACCATCACCATCACAATCACAATCACGGTCACGGCCGCGATCACGGTCGCAGTCACAACCGCCGGGGGCGCGAATCCGATCGCAGTCCCGACCGAGTCGGCCGGGCCTGCTGCCCGCAGCGACGGCGCCGGTAGATGGGCGCTGGGATCAGGATCGGGAGCGACGACAACAAGAAAGGAAGAGGCGGCAGCGGCAGGAGCAGGAGCAGCGGCGGCAACGGCAGCGCTCGGTCTCTTCTTATTCGTCCTATTCCTCGGGGGAGGAAGATAGCAGGAGGAGGAGGAGGCGAGACAGCTCTGTTTCCAAGACCAAGACGAAGAGCAGCGGCAGGGATGCCGCTGCTGATGGTGATGACGAGCGAAAGGGCAAGACCAAGACAAAGACGGGCAAGGAAAAGGGAAAGAGCAAGGGGGAGCACGATCTGAAGACGGGACTCGCCTTCATAGCCACCGCTGCGTCGGCTGCCTTCATCGTGCACAAGACGCGGAAGATGGTGTTTGGCGAGGATGAGGAGGAGAAATTGAAGGGGAAGTTCAAAGATGCCGTTGAGGGACGAGATCGGGACCGGGACCGGGATTGGAGATCATTAGACAGAGGCAGCGAAGAGGATGACCGGTACCGACGCCGCCACCAGCACCAGGACCACCGTCGCGACAAAAGCCCGGATGTGCTCGTCATCGAGGAGAGGTTCCGGAATGGGCGGCAGGAAGGGAAGCGCGTGTTCGACAACGGCAGGCTGGTCCTGGACGACGATAACCGGAGGTACAATATCGAACATGGCGGCGATGGTGGCGGGAGGGGCGCGGGGATGAGAGATCCCGAGAGGCTCATGCTAGACCACCGCCCATCGGTGCCGCGGCTGCCGAGTTCCGGCAGGTACTATGATATTGATGGCAGCGACGATGTGCTGTACGAAGACCGGCTCATGCGGAGATACCCCTGATGCGGATAGGAGGATGGAGGAACATATGGATGTTCGGCCAGTGGCCGCAATTTATGATACTGTTTACTGGATGAGATTATGAGATATATATACACACGGCTTATACATCAGACGTTCTCGTAAGCTGGTCGGTTAGAGCTTATGATTATGCCTAGAGTTTCGAGGAGGGGCAGCAGGCAGGACGATATATATACCTAGTACTTAAAGACTGGCATGGGATTACACTAATGGATGACATACATACATAAAATACATTGAGTTGAAGAACAAGAATGATGGAATCTCATCATTTGAGCTAGAAATCGCAGGAGTAGCAACCCTCAGGTCTCAATTCTACCGTTGTTCATGACTTTGGCAAACCAATACTATTAAGTACATCATGCCAGCTATCTGTCAGCTTCTTGCAACTAGATGAACATAGAGTTCACTGACCACTACACCTGCCTACCTGCCACCAAACCCCCCCAAAGAAATATACGTGACGAGATAGCGATAGCGAAAACATCAAAAAATAAATCAAAAAGATGAATCTTGACCCACAAGCGAATCGAACGCTTAATCTTCGGGAAACTCGAATTTTTCTGGAATCCGACGCCTTACCATTTGGCCAGCGGGCCGAAGATGATTGAACATTTGTTCCTGAAATAATGCCTCATATAGTCCAGGTTCTGGCTAGCTACTTAGTAGCTAAGCTAGCGAGGAGGATCAAGGTATAGGCTAAAACCTAAACTAGCCTTGGCTTGTCTCAGGGGTAAGGTCCGTTTGCTGATGAACTACGTCCAGCATAAGGTCACAGGTATCAATGTGATTTAAGATGCAAACGCTGTACGCAGCCGATAAGATGGCAGTATTACCGTATCGCTCATTTCAGTCGCGATTCATTCTAGTTATCGTCGTTGTCTAGATTCACTCTGTTCGCTTGTGCCTTGTAGGTAGTGCTTAACTCGGATGATCAGCAGTTCTGCTTGTGAAGAGTAAACCTTAACGAAAAGTATTATTGTCATGCTATCATTGAGACACTTAAGGAAGGCCCTCATATTATGAGGAGTTTGGTGTCCTACATAGTATATTCGGATTGCGCAGACTGTAGAATTAGCAACCACTCCGAAGATAGCCGTATTAAGTAGTAGAATGTATAGGTAACTTCCCTCCTCCCAATCCCCTCTCCCCGCTTTGTCTTCCTACTACTAGGGAAAATTATGCTCCTGTGCTTGGGGTGATAGCGTCGGTCTCGATGCTGAACTCTAAAAGCTTATTGTGCTTGCCAGTGTTCCTCTCCACCGGTCCCCCCGTTATTCACCCAGGCGAATTCCCTTCCCCAGGCATCGCTCTGGTGCTGCTTCAACATGGGGTACTAGGTAAAAACTGAAACTCCACCTCCGGTTTGGAAAGAGCAAGTTGAGCCTTAACACTTGTCTCTAGGCCGTTCAGGTGTTCCTTCAGTTGCCTGTTGTCGGGCCCGTGAAACTTGATCGTCTTCACGCTGTTGCTTGTCAAAGCGAAAGCCAGCAGCCTCCGAACGGTGCCTTCTTGTTGGGTCTTAGCACTCTTGATAAACTGTGGCCGGTCAAAACGTGGCGGGCTGAACCGTGACGGTTCCGGTGAGCAGTGTACGTCGATAGTGCGGAGGTCCTTGAGGCTCCCGCCATATGCTTCGAAGAATTCGTTCAGGCTGGCCAGACTCCACGATGAAAATATACTGGAAAAGCGGAATGTAAGCTCGAGGCGAAGATCCGAAGTAGGAGAGAGGTTGAATGGGTTGAGACCGCAAATGATGTGCATACGCGGGTCTACATTGAGTCGAACGGTAGCGAAGGCACCAACGATATATGTTACTTCTTTCCGAATACGCTTACACGTAAGCAGCAAGTCCGGAGTCTCAGCACGGCACCACCACCCCCGGCGGCTGCGCAAGTGGCTAAAGCTGGTGAATCCATACGACTGGTGAAGAATGGGAACGCAGTACAGATATACCGCGTTGCGCAGTTCGGCTGGGAGAGTGAAGAATATCGAGTTCTCCTGACTGGCCTCCATCACATGAGAGCTTTGTCCGGGGACCGGGTGTTCAAGGGATGTTGTGTGCTCGCTTCCCTGCTTCGATGTCCTCTTGGTCAGATTGGAGCTGATTTCGGCTGCTGTCGTATTTGGTGTCAAGAGAGGCGAAAGGGTGTTCCAATGTTGTAAGAAGATGTTGCAAGAAGATGTTCAAACATACTTCCCGAGTCCTGACCCAGTGGCCGGAAGTTAATATATAGGGGAGAGCCAACACTGTATAGGCCAATAATATGCAATTGTCCTTTCTCAGTGCATATAGACCAAATTATCGTTATATACTGTATGACTGACAATGCAACTAGAGAGGGATTCCCTACGTCATATCGGGCAGCCCACCTCCTACCTGCATATACTTAATACTTACATACTTACTTACCCCACGAAACACTCCAGGGGCCTGACCTGACAAGCCATTTTGAAGGTGGGCAACCAATCGTTAAGCTGCACCTAAACTACTAAAACGTTACGAAGGATGAAAGGATGATTTCCTGCTTTCAATCAGGCTTTCAATCAGGCACCCGAACCAATACCTAAGGCTGCCAAGGCCAGGTAGATATGTCACGTACCCTCCGCTCATGCTGCCCACCGGCATCAGGCTAGCAAGGCCCCCTCCTCCGTTGCCCTTCCTCTCCCTAACGACGGCGGCGACGACGACGAACTCGCCGTCCTATATTCACCTCCACTTCCACTTCCACCCCCGCCACCGACCCTTTGCCCCCCAGCGCTACGCCGAGGCCTATTTCCCATCCACGTCCTCACGCGCCTTCTCCTCGCGAACGCCCGCAGAGATGGACTCGCAAAGCCGCCCCAGCACGTCGATCGCCGCGTGCCGCGAGCTGGCCGGCCGGCCCGGGGCGCGCATCCTGGCGCTGTGCGGCGCGGGCCTGTCGGCGGCCTCGGGCCTGCCGACGTTCCGCGGCGCGGGCGGGCTCTGGCGCAACCACGACCCGACGTCGCTGGCCACGCCGGACGCCTTCGCCGCCGACCCGGGCCTCGTCTGGCTCTTCTACGCCTGGCGCCGCCACATGGCCCTGCGCGCCCGCCCCAACCGCGCCCACTACGCCCTCGCCGCCCTGGCCAAGGCGAACCCGGACTTCCTGTGCCTGTCGCAGAACGTCGATGGTGAGTGTAGTGAGCGAGTGAGTGGGGGTGCGTGGGGTTCGGGTTCGGGTTGATGGATTGGTTGATGGATAGATAGATAAATGGGCTCATGGTTATGGTTACATGTAGATAACTGAAGTTGCTGATATTCTAACTCGGATGATCACCAGGTCTATCCCCTCGCGCCGGCCACCCAGCGTCGCAACTGCGCCTGCTGCACGGCAGCATCCTCGACGTCAAGTGCTTCAACGGGTGCGGGTATGTCGATCGCGACAACCTGTCGGACCCGCTGTGCCCGGCGCTCGCGGCCGCCGCTGAGGACTACCCGGCCGACCAGACGATGCCGCTCCTCGACCCGGACGTGCCCGTGCCGGCGGTCCGGGTCGAGGACCTGCCGCACTGCCCGCGCTGCCGCAACGGCCTGCTGCGGCCCGGCGTGGTCTGGTTCGGCGAGCCGCTCGACGACCTCATGATGATGGAGGTCGAGAACTGGATCTGGCGCGGCCAAATCGACCTCATGATCGTCGTCGGCACCGCCGCCGCCGTGTACCCCGCCGCCGCGTACACGCGCAAGGCGCAGCGGAAGGGCGCCCGGGTCGCCGTGGTCAACCCGGACCCCGACTCCGCGGCCGGTTTGTCCGGGAGGGATTTCTTCTTCCAGGGCGACGCGGCGGAGATCCTGCCGCAACTGTTCGAGGGCGCCATCGGCAAGATGGATGCTGATGGACAGATTGTTGAGGAACCGACGGCGGCTTCGCCCGCATCGTAGCAGGTTTTATTTACTGGGGCGGTTGCACTCGGATAGTAGTAAGGTTTATCCCTAGAGGGTGAGTGGAAAAGTGGATAGTCGGGATCACTTCTGCCATTAAGAGAGTATTGCGTTGTACACACAGGGCTGATGATGAAGAGCATCACGTATATTCATTTCGCATTACTACGAGCCCAGGCCAGTCAGTTACACCGGCACTTCCCAACTACATATATATACATAAACGCACTCTTGTGCTTATGCCACTCCCAATCTATTCCATCCATGTACCTCCACCACCTTCTATCTACCTCGTTCCCCAAAAGGAAATGCCATATGACCGATGCAAGGAGAACGGGGATATCAAAAAATGGAACCACCAAGAGATACCTAAATCCAAAGGAAAGAGTAGAAAGGAAACCGACAAAGGAAAATCGATGTTAGGGTAAGGGAGGAGAGGCATTATCGTGGGGGTGGGTTCTGTGTTTGCTAGATGCCTGCGCGCTGCGCGATAAATGCAATATATGCGATCATCCGTTTCGGCCGTTCCGGTCGTTTCGCCTGTCCTGTTGATCCTTGTATTTTCCTTTTCTTTGCTTCTTTCAGCATGGATTTTGAAAATGCCGCTGTCGTCTTAAAAAAATCTGCCTAACATTATTGGGGGGTATAACCATTCATCGGTCAATCAATCGTGGATTCGTCTTCGTGTATCATCGCATCGCCATCGTGTGGCTGGCGCCCGTACTGGCATTGGCATTGGCATTAGCATTGGCAGCAGCGATCTTCGCTGCCGTGACCGCTGCTCCCGGTCCGCTACCACTCGCATTCGCGTCAGGGCTTCCCTGCCGCTGTCCCTGTCCCTGCAGCAGGATGGCCCGGCCCTCGAGCCAGCCGCGGCTCGTGGCGACCTCGAGGACGGTCATGCCGGCGTCGTCGCGCGCGGCGAGGTCGGCGCCGGCCGGGCAGCGGCTCAGCAGCAGCCGCAGGATGTCCGGGTTGCCGTCTTCCACCGCCTGGAAGAACCCGTTGTGGCCCCGGTACATCTTGTTGGGGTCGGCGCCGTGCCGCAGCAGCAGCTCCAGGATGTCCGTGTCGAGCTGGATCGTGAGGTCCGCGTCGTCCCCCGGCCGCTCGTGGATCCGCCGCAGCGCTTTCACCACGGGCAGGTGCTCGCCCGGCGCGTTGACGTCGGCGCCTGCTTCTTCCTGTTTTTTGGGGGGGGTTTGGTCAGTACGTTGTATAGCTACTTGGTGTGTGGTAATTTCGCATTTGTTGAGAGAAAAGGAGGGTAAGAGGAAAAGAAAAGAAAGCATACCAGCAGGAAGCGCACGATGTCCTTGCGGTTCTCGCGGATGGCGGTGGTCAGGGGCGAGAAGACGCCGCCGTTGCGGTCCTCGACACTGACGCCGGCGCGGAGCAGCAGCTTGATGCTCTCGATCTGGTTGGCCACGACGGCCATCTCCATGACGCCCTTGAAGGCGCGCGGCTCGGCCAGCGCCGGCAGCAGCCGCTTCAGGATCGCCGGCTGCTTGACCGCCATGCAGACGGGCCAGTTCTCGCCCCGGATGTTGGGGTCCGCCCCGCGCGAGAGCAGGAGCTCCTGTGAGAGATTTGCAGGTTAGCTATCGACCGTTCTCGAGAAGCGTCACGCACACACACGCGAACTGGTCAGGGTACATACTACTAGGTCGGGGCGGTTCTCGCGGATCGCCG